TGAGCTACATACCCTGCCCTCACTGGGAATTTTATTAATGATTCTTCCCATACCATGAAACCCCTGGAGGAATTACTTAAAGAGGGACAAAATTTTTAAAGTCTCCTTACCCTTTGCCCATTGTATTTCCTTTTCTGGAAATGTGAACTTGATGCGAATAGATTATTAAGCATTTCCAAACCATTATTTATTCCTTCCTACTCTTTGTAAACCTTGGGGAAGCAAGGCCATTTCCTTCTCTTTTATACTGAGCTCTAAGATATGAGGAGGAAAAAACTAAGTCTATATATTAAATTAGTTATTTACTTTGAAATTGCTGAGTAGCCCTCAATTAGAAATATGTTACTGCTTCCGTCAGAGTAGCTACTTAGAGCATTTACATATTAGGGGGAAATGGTGAATAGTATACATTTTTAACCAGTTATATTGAAAACTTGCCTGGTTTTAAGTCATTGAGAATTTAAATCAACAATATTGATTTTTCTCTGAAAATCATAGTGTTTCGTTTCATGTTGTTACTTAAAACTAACTTTGAGAAATGCTTGGCATACTTCAGTTGGCATACTTTAAAAATGCCTTTCATGGTACTAATGCTGATAATTTAAGGGTGAATTTAGTGTTCTGAAATTCTGAAGTTGTACAATGTCATATCAATTAAGTGTCCAACTGAGAAAATTCTTCTTAGATTTAAAAAAAAAATGAGGCATGTTGTAAGAAGTAAAACTTTTGAGTAGTTTTTTTCTCCAAAGTCAAAAGTATTTGAGATAAAGGTAACACCTTTAGAATAAGGGTCTGATTTTCCAGATTGTCTTCTCTGAAGGCTAATATCAATTTGGAATTATAGGTAATAGGGAATTATTTGACTATATAGAATTTTAGTTTATATTCGTATCTGAAGTCTTTCATTTGCATCAGATTTGGTCCTTGATGCTGATATATTTTGTCTCCAGAATTTCTTAGCTACCCTGTTCCTGAAGACCATACTTTTTGTGTGCATTTAAATGTGCTCAATAACTTGTAGGAAGGAAGGAAGGAAAGAAGGAAGGAAGGAAGGAAGGAAGGAAGGAAGGAAGGAAGGAAGGAAGGAAGGAAGGAAAAAAGAAAGAAGAAAGAAAGAAAGAAAGAAGAAAGAAAGAAAGAAAGAAAGAAAGAAAGAAAGAAAGAAAGAAAGAAAGAAAGAGAAAAAGAAAGAACACTTAACTTTATTGTCTACATGATTTCTCTAGGATCACTTTTTCTGTTCTCCTACAACCATATTCTTTAAAGAATACAATATCACTAACATTTATCTGAGTACTTTCTGTGGGGCAGAAAAATGCTAAAAGCCTTTCTTTTGTATTTCTCATCCTATAAGGAAAGCATTCTTATCCTTGTTTTAAGAAAGGAGTGGCTGGATATATTAGACTCTTGGTGCTACCATAACAAAATACCACAGCCTAATGACTTAAAACAACAAAAATTTATTTTTGCACTGTCTTGGAGACTAAAACTGAAATCAAAGTGTGGTAGGGCCAAGCCTTCTCCAGTAGACCCTCATCTTCACTAGTTATAATAACTTGATTTCTAACTAAGGTCACACTCTGTGATTCCAGGACAGACGCAACTTGACTCTGCTTGTGTTTGCAAGTTCATCAGCTTCCCACGCTTTACCTTCTTTATCCACATTATCTGGTTTCCAGTCCCAACTCACTGATGAGACTCTTCTGCTGAGTGTCCTCATCTTTTTCATTCAGCGTATCCTGACAGTAGTGATGACATCCTCCTCCTTGACCACTTTGCTCCCTAAGTTCTCTGAAAGCATAGTGAGTCTCACACTGTAGATTGCTGGTTTCCTCATCCATTGGCTTATCCTATACCCTAAAACTGAGTGCTTCCCTACTGACTTTTATCTGTTCTTCAACTCACACTCCTTTCTTAAATTTTCCATTCTCTTGACTTCAGAATTGTCTTCTATACCAGTGACTGCTTGATTTGTATCAGTCTATATCTCCCTGCTCTTCTCTCTCCAAAGTCTGGCCTCATACCTCAGGGACTCTTTTTAGAGGAGTTCTCTTACCATTGCTAACTCATTATGCTTACACCCAGATACTTTTCTTCCTTTCTCACATATGCACCAACACTATCCTGGCTTAGGTCCTCTGTGATTACTAAGGCAATGCCCTACTTTGCTTGCCTTGTCCAGCTTCCACCCTCCCAGTGCCTCTTGCATAACCTTGCCAGACTGATCTTTCAAAAGCAAATTTTCATCACTTTGTTCCTAGGCTTGGTGATTCCTTATGTCTTGCTGTTTTGCATGTAAACTCCTCAGACATCTCTTCACCCACCATGCCCAGTCAGGGTCATTTCCCACACTTCCCACTCTGCCCTTGCACTTGAGTAAGGCTGACTGCTTTTCTGCAAAACTGAGCATGTGATCATCTCCACTGTTTGGCTTGTAATGTCAATGTAGCTCTTTATTCTCTGAAATCCCATCCCCTTTTTTTCTGGTCCCAAATTACTTCCCACCTTTTCTAGTAAGTTCCTCAGACCATTTCAGCTTCTATTCATTATGGAAGAGTTCTGAAAACAGAATGATAGAAAAGTCATCAGGAACTCAGAATGAATTCTCTGCCTGTGTCCTCTGCTCTTAGCTTTTGTGTTTATGATTATTCTGTCTCTCTTCCCCATCTCAGACTTGTAACATTTGGCATGTGGCAATGTTACTCTGAGATGCCAGGCTTTATTAATTGTTCTTTGAAGTCACCTCCTTACTGTTTTACAAGACACATGAGGATAAGGACTATAGCAAAGCTTTTTTTCCCTGTAACGTCTGTAGCACCTAGCACAATGTTATACATTTATCAAATAATTTTTCTGGATTCACTTACATTTTTCAAGAGACTGAGTGTGAAGTTTCTTACAAAAACATAGAGAAATCAAGCTTAAGAAATTTAATATATGCTGGATGCTATTTTTCTAAGCTAAAAATATTTTACCTCAGGTAGGCAAAGTCTTTGATATGAATTGTGAGAATAATTAGGAAGAGGAAAAAATATGTATATGTATACACAGGATAGCTAGGATAATTGTACTACTAATATCTGTTGGTTTACTGAAAGGGACTGTTAATATGTAATTGATGAATCTTGCATGCTTATATCTGGTTATATGTGCAACCATTTTAATGATGACATTTTGTAATATAATAACCATTGTTAATATCCTATCCCTGTGATTTGAAATTCTGTATCATTTTTATTGTTCTCTATGCTGTTTTGTTTACACATTTGTTTTTGTTATTTTGGGTTTCTTTTTAAATGAAAAACAAAATTTATATGTATATACAAGGATAGCTGGAATAGGTATATTGCTCATGTCTGTGGTTTATTGAAAGGAACAGTCAATGCTTAAAATTTTCTTTTTTCTTGACCAATTTTGCATACTTGAATCTGGTAATCAGAATGACTGATCTGAAAACAACAATATACAGTATAAGAACCATTGCTGTACTCCTACCATCTTATGTGGTGAAGCTCTGCATCATTTCCCATGTTTTTTTTTTAAAATTACTTGTTACTGTCTTTGATTGTTTGGTCAACCTTACATTCTTATGTCTGGTGGATGGAGCAACTTCGTTGATGATAACACTAGCAAGGCAGCAACCATTGTTAATTCCTATCATTTTATTTCAAGATCATGAATCATTTTTGTGTTGTTTTGATTTTGTCTTCATTGTTGTTTTGTTAGTTTTTTTAATTTTTAAAATAGAAAAAATTAAAAAATTTTTTCTCAATCATGTGAGCAAAAACTAATTATCAAGAATTTTAGAATTGTGTGAGTTCTCTGCTGTCTTGTTTTCTAGACACACCATTAAAGCTTCAGTAACCACTAAAAGTTATATTGCTGTTATTGTTTGGATATCAAATGCCCCCCAAAGACCCATGTATGAAAGGCTTAGTTTCTATGGTGGTTATTGGGATGTGGAAGAACTTTTAAGTAATGGACTAGTAGAAAGTTTTCCAGTCATTGGGGATGTGCTCTTGAAGAGAACTGTGGGACCCCAGCTCCTCCTCATTCTCTGTTCTCTCCTTAGCTTATGTAAGAGCTTTCACTCTGCCACACACTTCCACCAGGCTATGCTCCTTCACCACAGGCCCAAGGCTACAGAGCCAGTATTATCATGGACTGAGATTTCCAAAGTGATGAGCCAAAGTTAACCTTTTCTCTTTATAAACTTATCATCTCTGCTATTTTGCTATAGTGATAGGAAACTGGCTAACAATGGGAATTACTTAAAAGTTTTTATTCAACAAGGGAAATCAATGTCACCTTTTTCTTAATCACTAGAAATATGTTGTATAAATTTATGCTGATCTCAAGTCAGATTTCTGAAAACAGAACTCATTGACATTCAAAAGCCAAAAATCTCGTGTTTTATTTTCATAGTATTAAATTTATTCACTATATTTCAAATGATAACAAGACAAGCAAATGTTGATTTTCTTTCCAAAAACAACGTGAAAGGATTAGAATTTTAAGAAACTAGTAATCTAAAGATGTCACTGTCAAATTCGAAGTGTTTTCTGAAAATCTACTCTCCTTAATCAGGAAAATGTACATAAAAGTTTGACACTGGAGTTTCATGAGAGGAGATGGTCTGGGTAGGTCTACATTAAGCACCTTGGTGAATGAGCAGGGGAGACTCTGAACTTACAGAAAAAGTGGACCAGGAATAGATATGGAAAGTGATCTCTCCATCTATTGAGCTAGGGATTTGTGGATCACAGCAGGCTTGGTTGACTTTATGGGAGAAAATCTACAAGTCATTTTATTTTTATATTTTTGGATCTTCTTATCAGAAACTGAACTTAAGAAAAAGAGTAAGTTGGAGGTTGGATGTTACAATAATCAAGCTGTTTACAGAACCCTCAGGAGTGCAACTGGAGGTCTGGAAGGAAGTGAAACCAGAAGGGACAGTTTAGAGAATCCAGGAAGTGCTCCTGCCCTTCTCTGCTTCTCCTTTCTCCTTTTCCTCTCCTCCCATCTTTCTCTCCATCTTTAGTCCATAGAGTGGGCTATAGATGAGTTAAGGTTCCATGACAAGGTAAGCTTTACTCTTAGACATAATTTAGAATATCTTTGTCAGAGCATACCTAATTCATTTACATCTGATTTCTGCGGCCTGAACAATCAAAAGCAACTGCGGAACAATATCATCTTCTGTAAATTTGGTTGCTGGAGATTGCTTCTGTGGTTTTTCTCGTAACAGGATATTTAAATGCAATGTTGAAATGCTCAGCTTTGTGACCTTCCTTAAATTTCACTGGAGCAAGAAAAAAACTAAACATACAAAATAAACTTGTAGCAAAAAAAAATTTTGCTCCATAATTACTTTCTCTAGTGATATTTGCTCAACATGAAAATTACATTTTGGATAGAGGACTATGAAATAAGGAATTTCAATGGAAGAAGAGTGTTTAAAAGTGTAGCAGATACTCTTGAAATAGAGATATCTATTGACAGTTTAGTTTGAATATAGCTTATACTTAAAGTTTATGTTGTCAGAAATACAGTAACAAAAATCATGAAATATGTTGAAATGAGAGGTAATATCATATTATACAAAAAAAGGAATTTCAAGAAGCCTTAAAAAGTACATGCAAATTAATATTAAGGCAAGAAATGCATCATACAGATTTTATGACACCATGTATAAAAATCAGGAAGACTGCTCCAACTGCTGTTTTCTTGGTAATTCCTTGGTTGAGGAATTCCTTGGTCATCACTAATTTTTGTTTATTTCATATGTTATTTTGGGCATCATAAGTGCCAAACTATTAACTTTATAATTTAAAAGGATTATTTTCATAAAAAGAAAAAGAATACCCTTGCACTAGAAATGTCACCATATTAGTTGGAACTGTATTATGATTAAGGTAGCTGATACTATATTATTAATATGTAAATAGAAAAGGTTAAAAGATCAGATTGCCATACTGGATAAAAATAAAGCTGACGGACATCTAAGCTCCTGCTGCACAGACTTTTTCCATTCAGATAACCAATTGTTCCAGTATCTTTTGTTGAAAAGATTTTCCTTTGTCTTTAATAGATTTCTTTATTGCCTCTTGAAAATTAATTGACTGCACAAGTCTGAGTCCAACTCTAGGTTCTCTGTTTTATTCTATTGATATTTTTTAGTTCTTATGATAGTACTACATTGTCTTTGATTAATGTAACTTAAAATATGTTGAATGCAGATGGTATAAATTCTCAGCTTTTGTTCAAGTTAGATTGGATTTCCTAACCTATGAATATGGTATATATTTTCATTTATTTGGGTTTTCTTAAGATTGAGCAATATTTTGTAATTTTTGATATAGAGTTCTTATATGCTTTTGCTTAATTGGTTTTTAAGTATTTTATATTTATTAATTGCTACTGAAAATGAAATTACTTAATTTTCCAATTGTTTGCTGCTAGAACATAAAACACAATTGATTTTAGAACATCGAGCATGTGTCTTGTAATATTGTTAGACTGCTTATTCCACTAGTTGCTTATAAGCTTCTCAGAATTTCTCATACCACCATGCTTCTTATTTATTTTATTTTATTGCCTTATTCCCCTGACTAGAACCTCTACTATAACATTAAACAGGGACATTTCTGCCCTGAGTCCAATGTTGGAATAGAATGTGTCTTACATTCAATATTTTGACTATAAGATATTCATAGATGTCCTTTGTCAGGTCAAGAAAGTTCCCATCTATTTCTACTTTACTTAGAGTTTTTTGTCATGATTGAGATTTTTATTTTACCAAGTGTATCTTATGCATTTATTGACATGAGCCTATATTTTTCTTTCTTTATTTTTCAATCTAATGAGTTATATTGACTGACTTACATATTACTTTGAGTGTGAAATCAACTTTGTATTTCTTGAATAAGCTCTGCATTGTCATGGATTATCACTGTGCCAATATATTGCCAGACTTGATTTGTCGATATTTTGGTGTTTAGCATCTATGGTTATGAATGATACAGCTTTTTAATTTTTTACATTAAGAAAACTCACATGTGATTAAAATATATCATACACATTTCATCATCAAAAAATAGCAGCAATAATTTCTGTATTATTCTCTTAAAATGAACAGAATTCCTATTTTGCCCAGATAATTCTTATAAATCGAGGCAATGGTTTTGGACATGGAGAGAAATAGATTGGCAGCAACGGCCTCTGGTCCTGTTCTGACCATGAAACAGAAGTGTACGGTGTGCCCCTAACAGCAACTCATAGCTCCTATAAGGCATACACTGAATAAATTAGTGTAAACAGCAATCAGATGTGGAGAGCTTTGGATTGCTTTCTGTTCAGACTTTACTTTTCTCTTTTCAGTTACCTATTGGAGACAAAAACTGCACTGAAATTTGTTTGATGAGGTCACAGTTTCTGCTGCTTATTTTTGATTTACTTAAATACCCCTTCCATCCCTTTTTAAACAACATATTAAAACATCTACTAGTCAATGGCAGACCTATTCTGTAGAGTCTCATTTTATAAAATAGATTTCTTCACTCACACCTCCCTAAGATTTATTTCTTCAAAGAAATAGTCACTTAATATCTGATAATTACACTCATGGTATTATGTACAAAATGCATTAACTAAAATATTCCCCAAAGTGCCAACAATAAAAATGAAATAGAATGCTTATTTAATGCTATCTTCTGAAAAAGAAGTTTTGAAAGAATCAAATTTGAAACAGCAACAATTTAACAGTAGATTACCAATGTTCAATGAACTTAATGGAATGCAAATATAGACCAATATTCACTGATTAAGTGATATTCATACACACTATAGATTTTCCTCTAAATATCAAGTATAGGGATAAAACTTACTTCCAACAATTCTCTTAGGAATTTTCAGTACTTGCAGGAGGCTCTGGCTTAAGTGCATTGTTTGATATATGTGTACATTAAATTAAGATCATATTTTATATCAAGATTCTTACTGAACAACATTAAATTACTTGACTGTCATCTATTGAAGTATTTCTTAATAATGCTTTGGGATACTTTTTATCCAATTTCATAGTTTTTTTTCTCAAACTTCATCAGGGAAGAAACTGTATTTTCAGCACTACACAGACAGTAAAGGAAAAACCCTTGAAGCTGAGGTAGAGTGGATGGGTGCTCTCTGTCATCCTCTGTGTTTTGGTTCGATTCTCCAAAAGTGAAGACTGGCAGAGAGTGGGTCAAGACTGAGCACCTGGAACATATTGGCTTGATGTTGTACAAGCTGTTGTATGACTGGGGCTACCAGAAATAACCATTTCAGAGCTGTGAGGGGTTTTTATAAGAAAATGTCTTTCAAGTCTTCAATAAGTTGCTTTATTATTGGACCAGAGATTCTAAGCTGTCTTTCTGAGCCCTGGTGAATTCTCTGGAAAGTTTCATTTCAATATAAAATTTGGTTGCCAAGCCATGGTTTCTTCAAAAATCAAAATTTATAATAATTAAATATTTTCCATTTACCCATGCAATTCAATTCGGCAGTTATAACACTGGCTGCAAAGAAGATATCAGAGATGTAGCCTTGGGAGATTACTTTCCCTGAAAGCTCTTTTAAAAATGTAGACACTTTTATGGACAACAATGATGAAAACTAACCCCAAGTCTGTTACCACACTACAGACGGTAAAGCTCAATGAACTATAAAGTTATTCATCTAGAGTTTGTGTCACCCCTTATACCACCTGTCTTAGTCAACCTTGTGTTGCTATAGCAAAATACCCGAGCATGAGTACTTTATTAAGAAAGGAGGCTTATTGAGCTCATAGTTCTGAAAGTTTGAAAGCATCTTCTTGGTCTAGTGAGAGCCCTGGGGGAGATGGCATCACAGTGGCAGGGGTGCATTGGAACGGAGATTTAGAGGAGGTGCTAAACTTTCTCTTTTTTATTTTAAAGAGAAAAAACAAACAAAATGACACAGAATTTCAAAACAAGATGTTAGGAAATTAACAATGGTTATTGTATTGCATATTGTTATCTTCAAAGTAGATAACCCACTCCCATAAGCAGTAAGGCAGTTCCATAAAACCTGCATTCATCCCTCAGGAAGGTGATGCCCATGACCTACATGTCTTCCAGGAAGCCCCACCTGTTAAGGTCTCAGCACCTCTATAACTTCACCAAGCTTTCAGCATACAAACCCTTGGGGAGGTAAATTGTATCTAAACTGCAGTACTATCAAAACATCAAGCAAGTATTGGCTGAGGGTACACAAAAATTCCCAAAGCATTAAATTACCTTCAGTTCATTTGCCTTCCTATTCACTGTCTAGAATGAGGATAGAAATCACATTGTGGAGTTCCAAAGCAACTCTGAGTGACAGAAAAAAGAACAACATCTTTAATTGCTCTCAAAACAATAGATATTCCCACAGTAGACAAATAATTTGACAAATTCCTATTTAAGGCAGAGAAGTAGCAGAATATGTAGATATCTTTGGGTCATTCGTTTAGTCACCATGACTCTCATTTCAGAAGGAAGTGCAGTGAATTTCTTTCAAATAGCTACAGGACTAGTCAACATTTTATTTCATCTTATGTCAATTTTGATAAGTTGTTCAGGAAATGAAATGTGTACATCCCCTCTAATTCTTGAATTTATTAGCATAAAGTTCTTCATAACATCTGTCATGATATTGGTAATTTCTCTCATTTTTTTTATCATTCTATGTATGGCTATCAACTTTGTTATCTTTTCCAAAGAAACCCCTTAAAATGTTTTATATGTATAAATTTTCTGTTTTCTCTTTCATTGATGTTTTTCTTTATTCCCTTACTTTTCCTTATTTTGGATTTATTTTGCTCTTCTTTCTAGATCTTCCTTGAGAAACTAGAGTTATTGATTTTATACCTTCGTTCTTTCCTATCTGGTTAACATTGAAAAACTATAAATTTATTTCTATGCATTTTTGGCTTTATCCAACAAATGTTGACATATTTTATCATTCTGTTTGAAATATTTTCTAATGTGTCTTGTGGTTTTGTTCCTTGACTCATGGATTAGTGATAAGCATGTTATTTAATTT